TTTTGAGTTAAAATCCCCCCATTTTCGAGCACAATTCCCTCCTACACCCCCAACCCAGACCCCCCCACCTTTAAAACCCCCCAAAACCCACCTCTAACACCCCAAAATTCCCTCTCCAGGTGTGCCTCACCTGCTGCTCCAGGGAATCCATGGTGAGGATCAACCAAATCTGTCACAAAAACGGCATCAAATTTTTCACCGGGGACGTTTTTGGTTACCATGGTTACATGTTTGCTGACCTGGGCGACCACGAGTTCGTGGAGTGAGTTTGGGGCAGAAATCCCCCCCGGCCATGGGGGGTTTGGGGTGGTCCTGGTGAAATTCCTGGGGTTTTGGGTGTTCTTGATGGGATTTTGGGGTGTTCCTGGTGAAATTCCTGGGATTTTGGGGTGTTCTTGATGAAATTCCTGGGATTTTGGGGTGTTCTTGGTGAAATTCCTGGGGTTTTGGGGTGTTCCTGGTGAAATTCCTGGGATTTTGGGGTGTTCTTGATGGGATTTTGGGGTGTTCTTGATGAAATTCCTGGGATTTTGGGGTGTTCCTGGTGAAATTTCTGGGATTTTGGGGTGTTCTTGGTGAAATTCCTGGGATTTTGGGGTGTTCTTGAGGGAATTCACGGGGTTTTGGGTGTTCCTGGACAGAATTCCTGGGATTTGGGTTGTTCTTGATGGGATTTTGGGGTGTGCTTGATGAAATTCCTGAGATTTTGGGGTGTTCCTGGTGAAATTCCTGGGATTTTGGGTGTTCCTGATGGGATTTTGGGGTGTTCTTGAGGGAATTCACGGGGTTTTGGGGTGTTCCTGATGGGTTTTTGGGGTGTTCTTGACAGAATTTCTGGAATTTTGGGTGTTCCTGGTGGGATTTTGGGGTGTTCTTGATGAAATTCCTGGGATTTGGGGTGTTCCTGGTGGGATTTTGGGGTGGTTCTGGTGAAATTCCTGGGGTTTTGGGGTGTTCTTAATGGGATTTTGGGGTGATCCTGATGAAATTCCTGGGATTTTGGGGTGGTTCTGATGGGATTTTGGGGTGTTCTTGGTGAAATTCCTGGGGTTTTGGGGTGTTCTTGAGGGAATTCACGGGGTTTTGGGTGTTCCTGGTGAAATTCCTGGGATTTTGGGTGTTCCTGATGGGATTTTGGGGTGTTCCTGGTGAAATTTTCAGAATTTTGGGTGTTCCTGATGGGATTTTGGAGTGTTCTTGGTGAAATTTCTGGGATTTTGGGGTGTTCCTGGTGAAATTTTGAGAATTTTGGATGTTCTTGAGAGAATTCCTGGGGTTTTGGTGTGGTCCTGATGAAATTCTTGGGATTTTTGGGGTGTTCCTGACAGAATTCCTGGGATTTTGGGTGTTCCTGATAGGATTTTGGGTGTTCTTGATGGAATTTTTAGATTTTTGGGCTGTTCCCCACAGAATTCCTGGGAATTTGGGATGTTCCTGATGGAATTTTCAGGATTTTGGGGCTGTTCCTGATGGAATTTTCAGGATTTTTGGGTGTTCTTGAGGGAATTTTTTGATTTTTGGGTGTTCTTGATGGAATTTCTGCATTTTTGGGCTGTTCTTGATGGAATTTTTGGATTTTGGGGCTATTTTTGATGGAATTTTCAGGATTTTGGGTATTCCCGATGGAATTTTTGGATTTTTTTAGCTGTTCCTGAGGGAATTCCTGGGATTTTTTTTTTTTTTTGGTGCCCTCAGGGAGAAGCCCAAGGTGGCCAAGGCGAGCCCAGGGCTGGAGGATGGACCCGAGGCCAAACGGGCCCGGCTGGACCCAGCTGAGACCAC